ATTGTATGCTTGATTGACCTCGAACGCGTGTGTTTAGAGCACACAGAAAAAAGGGCCAACTTGAGCTGAATGAAACTGAGGCCTTGTTCACTGATAGTACAGACAGGAAGGTTCAACTTCGGGTGGGCAGCACGATAAGATGTCCTTGAGTTTATTACAGTGTCTCAATTCATGCGAAATCTACCCATAGAAGTAACAAGGTATCCATTGTTTGTACCGAGAGATGTTTTGGCCTCCAGGTGCCCACTGAGGAGCGTATCGGTGGACTGGGCTCAGAGGCGTGACATGTGAATGAAGAAGGGAGTGTTTTTCTGATATAGCACTTGTAATTTGCATACACGATCAATAAAAAGCCAGCAGAGGCTGCAGAGGTCAGGTGTCAGTTGAGAAGCGCACATGGCGTGGCTTCGTAGAAAACTGCCTCCTGCCGGCAGCAAAGACAATCTCTTCCTGAGTCTGTTTGTTCAACTGTTCATCACTTTTATCTCTGACAACCTTGAAATATATTTTATTTTTTAAAGGAACAGACATGTCAAAATTAATTTTCCATTTTTGAATTAGTCAGTGTGAATAAAAAATACAAGTGCAAATATGGCATTTGGGGGCAGTCCGGTGGACCAGTGGTTAGCGTGTCGACCTCACAGCGCAGAGGTCTTGGGTTCAATCCCCGCTCCAGCCTCCCAGTGTGAAGTTTGCATGTTGTCCCCGGGGCTGCGTGGGTTTTCTCCGGGTACTCCGGTTTCCTCCCACATTCCAAAAACATGCATGGCAGGCAGATTGAACACCCTAAATTGTCCCTAGGTGTGAGTGTGAGCGTGGATGGATGTTCATCTCTGTGTGCCCTGCAATTGGCTGGCAACTGGTTCAGGGTGTCCCACGCCTACTGCCCAAAGACGGCTGGGATAGGCTCCAGCACCCCCCGCGACCCCTGTGAGGATAAAGTGGATCGGAAAATGAATGAATATGGCATTTTATTCCCAGAAAGAAAAAAAATTAATTATCAAATAACAACATACCCCATACACTGCCATATTGGACATTTCGCACTGCTTCACATGATTTCTGTGACATATGATGTGCTGTACATGAGACTGGTTCATTTTGAACTCATTTCTTGGTCCATTATGCTCTGAAAAATGTTATATTCCGTCGTCAAGTATAGCCACAATTTAGATAGCTCTGCTCACCATCAGGTTTCATAATCTTACTTGGAGAAAGAAAGAACAAAGAGAGACATTTACAGTGCAATGGCTGATCATGAAGCCAGCCTGCAAGCTTGTAATACGCTTCTATGATAACTTTGTCCCGAAACCATGACCAATTATCACCACAATTAATGTGTGCTAATCATTCTTTCAAAGTATTAGAATGAAAAAATATTAAATGATAGCAATTTCTTTTTCACTTGACATCGTAAGAGCAAAACACTGTCACTTATTAAACACAAAATGTGACCGATTGTCACCAAAACTTTATGTGGACATAGATATACAGTAAATATGCAAATCTTAGTCTGAAAAAAATGACAATGAAACTCATACTATTTTAGATTATATTAACATCGGAAGTGTTGTTCTGTAGATGCGTATTAATGGGGCAACGCTTCCGATGTTATCGTCACCCATGGACATTTGATTTGGGTTTGATTGCCCACGACAGTGGCCAACTTTACATCATCCTCAAGTGGAAATCTTGCGGTTCCTTTTAAATGTACATATCGTGCACTGTTTTCCTGCATCTTCATGCCATTGAGACCGTGTGGCTCTTTTTGACTAAATTTAAAGAGAAAGTGGGCAGCAACTTAACTTGGCCGTGAGTCAGCTGTGTTTCCTCCCTCAGTGGCGAAAACCCCACCTTCTACTTGTGCTCATTGAGAAAAATACCAAAAGAAAGAAAAAAAATCCCCCCCATGCGTGCAGGGAGTGTTTATGATGTAGAATGGCCAAAACAACTAATATATCGCCACTTTGTTTGTTTTTTCACAGTACTGTACATTTGTTTGGAAATAAAAGTAAGACAAAACTTCATTCATAAATGTAGGAATTTATATTTTATTTCATAAGAAGAGGAAAGAACTAGTTTTCTCCACACATGACATTCAACTGGGGTCCGGGGAAAAGGGGGAGAGCTGAGGGAACAGGCTGGATTAGCAGATCAAACAAAACACACTACTGACACATAAATCCAACCAGAGGATTTCAGGTTTCAGTCATTCCCATTCACTGGAAGCTTTTGAACCACGGGGATGAGTACGATCAGAAATGTGAATTGGCAGTGTGGTGGATACATGCACTCGTCAAAAGTGAGAGCAGCCAGTCAAAACAAATGTACCAAAGTGGAGGAAAAGAAAGCAAAGAATGGTGTGCGCAAGAAAGGGTCGAATTGAAAGAATAACTAGAAAGTTAAATGAGAGCATGAGGGAGAGCAGCACACCTTGGTTGCGCTGCGGAGGTGATCGTAATTGACCTCTTCGATAGCCTGGAAGTATATCACACCCTTCAGCTTGGTCTCGTGTTTGTCTAAAGGAGGAAAAGGCAAAAAGAAGAAAAAAACAGACGGTGACTTTTGAGTTGAAGTCGGTGGCACCTTATCTTATATCATGACACGCCACACTTCTAAAAAACAACACGTCCAACTGTGAGGACGAGCACGTTTGCGGTGATGGATGAAAAATGACAAGCGCAGCACTTTGGGCCCTCTCTTTTCCAAGCAACGCTGCTCGTATTGTACGTTGAGATTCGACTGGCTTCTTACGCGACTCCGGTACATCATTGCACTTTGTTTCATCAGCCACTGCAGAAGTGCAGCAAGGAACCGAGGGGGAACTCGACGCCCCGTTTCTACCTGCGGGCACATACACTCGGCAAGGCAACTTAAAGAGTGGTGGGTCGAGATGCGGTACTTCATTTCGAGGAATAGTTTAAGACACCGCTAATACCCGCTAATGACCTGTTTAGCAGTCAAATTGCCTCTTGTTTGCATCTCATTTGATTGAGACCAAATGATTTCATAGCGGCGGGGGACGATTGGCGGGAATTAACAGCCCTCGCAAGGTGGGCGTGTCACTTCTCGTTTACTTATTGTTCAAGGTCAAGAGACATTGGCAAGCGATGCATCTCAATCAGCCTCCTCAGAGAGCGCCGCCGCGACGTGCATTTTAACCATGGCGCGACTAATCTCGGTGCGCCTACTCGCGAGGAGCAAGGTGCGCTTTAAGAGGCTTTAAGTGGAACCTTCAGAGGACTTCAAAGCGCTGAATGTGAACAAGTGTCCCACAGCTCACGCCGGCAGATCAATCACAGCGCGGCGCACGGAAGGTCTGGATTGGAGCGGACATGTTCAGTCATCATTCTGGGGACAATCGTCTGCCATGTACATGTCTGACATTGCCATTTTTAAGATTTTTGTGCATATTTGAAGGTGTTTTCTGCCCAAAACATTCATCAAGCAAAGTCTTCAACTAGAAAGCTACAGTATACATTGTATAATCAGGCTTCATTTTTTTTTTGTTTGTTTTTGGGTTTTTTTTTTGCTGCAATTGTTGCCAGACTTACAGTAGTGTGCCCAGCGTGCATTATTTGATTTTATTTATTCATTTAATCAGACCTTTATTTCTTCAGCACTAGGGCAACATAATCATATCGTGTTTATTGTCATTTCACGTATGTTCGCTTTGGGAAAACATTTCCATATGCAACTGGCCGCATGATGTCCTTCGGTACAACCACAGTCATTTGTGCTGTCTCTGGTTTTATTTTTTAATGCCAGACCAAATATAGGTAGAAATAGAATATCTGGCACCTTCCTGCAAAGCAAAACGTAGAAAAGTGATATATTTTTTATACTGCCCCAAAAATTGACCTCCCCAGTAAATATTACCCACAAAAACAACAAACTGACTGACAAAGCACTTTGTCAAGAAAATGTGGCTCTGCATGATAGCTGGGACCCTATAAAAATGTGTCTGCAGCCTTTTTTGTAATGACCGTAAGTTAGAAACCCGAATCTAATTCGATCCAAAATTCTGCTTTCACATCAATACTCAATTTTGCTAGTTTCATGGTGGATATCACCGGGTGGAAATGCAACCGTACCTTATCATATTATTATTTTAAAATTTGTCACAAACAATTGGTCATCCTTTTTCTTTAAAAGTAGAAAAACCCACTGTAGTCACCATCCCATCTTGAAGCTGACAAAAGTACTGTAATCAATCATAAAAATGAACTGGATGTAAAAAAAAAAATGTGCTACTGGTCAACAGGTGCGAAAGTCTTATTGAGAGTTGAAAGATTTGTTGGATTGTGATGTCCTCAAAAATACTACAAAATACTCAGTTACCGGACCATTTTTGTGTTGTTTTTTTTTTTTTTTTTTTTTGCCTGTACCAAAGAAGAAATGTTTCATCTTTCTTTGCCAGTTTAGCTGAGGTAACCATTCAATAAAAACAAAAACAAAACAAAAACATGCACGGTAGGTTAATAGAACACTCCAAATTGTCCCAAGGTGTGATTGTGAGTGCGATTGGGTGTTTGTCTATGTGTGCCTCGTGAATGGCTGGCAACCAGTTCAGGGTGTACCCCGCCTGCTGCTTGATGACAGCTCCAGCATGCATCCAGCATTATTTTTTATTATTACTTTGGTTTTGAATCTGAGACCTCTTATTTTACAAACCTTATAAACATGCACAAAATATAACCAGGATATGTATTTTTTTGGGGGGTGGGGGGAGGGGGTGACCAAATATATCAAGCAGTAGAGACTTCATTCCAGACACCTTCAGAAGCCCAAGTTTGTCAAACTTAACTATCTCTTTTGGAGGAGAGGCTATTTCACACATCACATTTCCAATTATGTCTCCTTTTACTGACCTGGGAGAAGTTCTTGGCCCTCAACTTCACTTCCTTCTCCACCAGCTGCTGTCGGTGGAAAGTTTCATCCTGCAGTCTTTTCTCTGCTTCTTCCCTCCTTTTCCTCTCTTCTTCCATCATTTGATGGTCAGCGAAGCTCTCCTGTTCCTGAAAGAGAGTTTTTTTCTTTCAATCATTTTGACAAGAGTTCATGTGAAGCAATATGGATCTTTTTGGGTTTTTTTTACTCTGCTGTCCTTGTGCTCATCACAACATTCTATCCCCATACAAGCTTTTCATTCAGACAGTAATTTTAACACTCTTACATCTGACAGACAATTAACTGATAAAAAGGCCAATAAAAAAGGACTGAAAGGACTTCATTACAGTATTGATCACGTCACACCAAAACGTCATCAATCAGGCAAATGTGATTCCGCCACTGTTGTAATGACACGTACCCGAAACTCAATAAGTCTGGCTTTCTCCATCTGTGCCTCCTTCAGCATTTTCTCCATCTCTTCCATCTTCAGCGCGTCCGTTCCTCCAACACTTGTGGTGGAAATAAAAACAAAGCATCTGCATTCAAATGGTTTCTGAGCTAATCAGGATTTTACGCAGTGATGAGCAACTCTGCTAAAGTGTTCTCTTCAGGGTGGAAATCCGGTAAAAACAACCGCCTGACAAAAGGCTTTTTTCCCTGTTTCTGTCATGGTTCTGTTTGTGACCAACAGGTGGCACTGTAGGGCTCCGCCTGCAGCTGCACACCTGTTGGTCATTGTGTCATTAGTTTGTTTGTTTGTTTGTTTGTTTTTTTGTTTGTTTGTTTGTTTGTTTTAAAGGACTCCCGGCACGACCACTCGGTGTCGGGCCATTGTTGCTTTTGTATGTGTGTGTCTGTGTCATGTTTTGTCTTCTGTGTTAGGTTTTGTTTGCTACTTTGTTTCCTGAGATTTCTGGACTTTATTTGAGTGAGTTTTTGAGTTAGTTCCTCCTGTGTACTTTTGTTTGCAATTTTGTTAAATACATCTTGGTCACTCCACTCTGCTCCTCCCTGCCTCCCTGCTTTTTGGGGTCCTCCCAACAACTACCACCATGCAAAACGTAACAGTTTCAATCAGAGGAAAGGAGGCTGTGGCCGATTTCAATATATAAATGTATATAGACGAGAAAATGTACTTCCACGAGGACAGGCTGCTTTTGCAGAATGAGGTTGGAAATAGCTACATTTTAATCACACCACATTTTGTCTTGAAACATCGAACATGAAAATTTTGACAAATTCGGAATGTGTTGAGCCAGAAAAATGAATGATACTTTCATTCATAGAGTGTCTGACATGACAGTGTCAAAACGGGATTAGAATAAGGACTGATGCTGACTGAGCGGAAACACGGATGTTTCCTCTATTTAGGCCCTTGCAATCCAGTATGCACTTTTAACTAGCGCACAAATGCAATTATAGTTTTGCAAAATATTTTACCAAAACAGTTTCATCTCTTGTGAGCTACAACAAAGCTGCGAACGTGTTGAGCTGAGAGCTTCCTGCAGCGAACGTTTTTGTGACACGGCACACAACCTGGTTCCTACAGATGGTCCCCAAATTAAAACGTGCAGATAAAGTCAATTACAGGCGGGGAACAGTCTGGGAAATGGTGCCTGTGGGTGCTTTTGTCTGTGTGCCTGACTGAATTTGTCATAAAATGGCTCAATGGGATTATTCAGAATCGTGGGCCCTTCTTTGGTTCTTAAAAGATGTGTTGCTATAGCACTGCCCACGAGGGGGTTATATTGTATATTGATGGCATAAGTAGGTCACTACTCACAAATTCAGTCATTCACAGATTTTTTTTCAGAACCTATTCTGTATTGCGGTATTTGCCGAACACCTCACTTAGTTGCTATTTTGTGCGCTTTCTGAAGTTCCTTAAATGCCCTGCCTTATAGAAAAAAAAGAGTTTTTTGTGCCATTGGCAATTAGTATTGTCACGTATGCGTGGTGGTGGTGGACCCCAAAAAGCAGGCAGGAGGGAGGAGCAGGGTGAACATGACGAATTGTATTTAATAAAACACAGAGTAAACTAAATCCTAAACAAAGTCCGAACAACAAAACGAATCCAAAGTATCAAACAAAACCATAACTGAAGCTCAAAAAACTAGAACAGAAACATGACCGGAACAAACGTGACAGTAGCAAACTAAGAGCAACAATGACCTGACCATGAGTGGTCGCGAGGGAGTCCTTTTAAACGTCTAACGACATAACGACCAACAGGTGCTCAGCTGCAGGGGGAGCCCTACAGTGCCACCTGTTGGTCACAAACCAAAACATGACAAGTATAAGCAAGAATAATGGCTGAAGTTGTCATGGGTACCTGGACAAATTATCTGGCGAGCAGGCGGAGTTGTTGCCTGTGGACACACTGGTGTCCATACTGTCTGAGCTCTCCAGGCTCAGTGTGTCGAAGGGCTGCTCTCCGTCTGATGCTGGATGGTGGTGTAGGATGGAGTGCTGGACCAGAGGAGGGGCGCCTGCAGATCTGTGACTCAAGTGGGACTGTAGGTCACTCCTGGGGAGTGGGGGTGCGTGGGGGTGGTGAGGTGAGATTGCAAGCCATGGAGTGCCTCCCACTGGTACTGAGCCTCTTCTACTGCTCTCTGCTTGAGCTCAGCCAGACGACGTCGCTGCTCTTCAATTACCTGCGGACCTGAAAAATGTGACATCGAAATCATTTTTTTTGTTTGGGTTTTATTTGCTTTTGGGCAGTGTTAATATACCGTATTTTCCACACTAAAAGGCGCACTGGATTATGAGGCGCACCTTCAGTGAATGGTCTATTTTGTAATTTTTTTTCATATATTGGACGCACCGCATTATAAGACGCAATCTACAATGCATCCACTAGATGGAGCTATGCTGAAGGAAAGGCCACAGAACAGAACACTACACTACACTACACCCTGATTTATATAGCGATGATCAGATGTCAGTAAAACATATTTAATAAAGCAGTTCACTTAACCAACAGCAAGTTATAACATTGACTCGTTAACGTTGAACAACTCTCTTGCCGCTGCTCTATTACCGTGTTCAACTGCGAAACCGATCGCCTTGAGTTTGAACTCTGCGTTGTAAGCATGTCTCTCGCAAGGAGCCATTTTGAGGTTGACATATTACCGTAATGACCATACACAAGGTGCATCGGATTTTAAGGCGCGCTGTGAGCTTTTAAGAAAATGGAAGGCTTTTCGGTGCACCTTTTAGTGTGGAAAATACGGTACCCTTTCTCCTGCAAGCAAAATAGCCAGTAAGTCAGCAGACACCCACAACAAGTCAGAGGCAGCTCATTAATATCAACTTGTAAAGGGATACCCAAAGCTGGCTAAGTTGAATTAGTTCAATACTGGCAAGAATCGGTAGTAAGGAGGCACTTTGGCCCTTAAGCCCAAAAGATTGGAAACATGCATGATTTATTGCCCACCAAAGGAAAGACAGGACAGTCATGAGAGAAAATGAAAAATCATCTTTGGGAGCTAATGACGCATCAGGGAATCGGGCATTAAAGGAGACGGAAGTCAGAGGCATGAGTTCAAGCCCACCAACCATCTCGGGATGGTTAACGTTGCTCTTGCCGCATAAGACGGTAAAAGTAACACCATGATAGTTTTGAGGTCACACTGTTTCAAAGGCTACCTGCTGATCTTCCCGCTATGGGTGGCTGACTGGAGGCCGGAGGTTCTGAAGACCACAGACAAAGACAGGCAGATGGAAAGGATCTGGACATGTAGTTGTACAGTGCATACAAAGTGTTCGGGCAGCACGGTGGTCGACTGGTTTGCACGTTGGCCTCAGAGTGCAGAGGTTCCATGTTTGATTCCGCCCTTCCTGTGTGGAGTTTTCATGTTCTCCCCGTGCCTGCGTGGCTTTTCTCTGGGTACTCCGTTTTCCTCCCACACTCCAAAAACATGATATGGAACACAACTCAACACAATCGTGTACATATTGGCTGTCTTCTAAGTCATCACTGTCAATAATATTACACTCCATGTTTATCTAAATATTTGGGACCCCTGACTAGGAATGACTGACTGTAATCTTCTCAGTGATGAAATTTTAATAACGGCTTATAATTTGGTTTAAAATGTTTATTTCATAATGATAACAACATAACATACTGACACACGTAGCAATTTATTGAGCCAAGACAATATGCTTTTCATAAATTCATGAAAAAGGATGAAAACAAAGTTGGGGTTCACGTGTTAACCTGGCCCTTGGGAGGCGTTCCAGTTTCCCATTGCACACCCCTGCTTTAGGTTGCTGTTTCATTCGTGCAGTGCATGATTTTTCGTGTTTTAATTCTCTTTCCTTCATTCCAAGTCTTTGCTGTCACAATGTTCTTGCTTGATAATAAAATATAGTCAATGTAATGAAAACATAAGGTACTTGTGTTTTTCATCGAAGTGTGTGTGCACAAGCGCATGTGTGTGTTCGTGATGTTGGGGGGTGGACTCGTACACGGCGCAACTCAAGCCAGGAACTAACAGATTCTCATTAGGCTTAAGTGTGACGCTCAAGCTCTGCCTGATGAGTTGTCTATGTTTTCCCTGTGCACCAACAAAAGACATTTTTATTCAAGTCAATTGACTGGGGCTTGATGAGCTCAATGGAATAATCTTTAACACATTTAAATTTGTCCAAGGGACTCTCTATCAGCACACAATGTCAGACATAGAAAGGCAGTGAGAGAACATCCTCCAGTGAGTCGCAAAAGACAGTCAGGCACCGCACGCGGATTTCATGTTCAAAGAAGCAGTTTGTGCCTCTGGGCCAAGCGGGCCTCGCTCAAGTCAGTGAAGCAAAGCCGTTGTTTAATGCATGCTTTTACATGAATCTTCTACCAATACTGTATTCCAAAGCATGGGGACAAAAATAAACCCACACGGGTGGTACACCAGCCGGCGATGAGCACACTTGCAGAGAATTTTCATCAGAGAGTGTATGAATCTCACACAGAGGTGGGTAGAGGAGTCAAAAATTGTACTCAAATGTATTGTTACTTACTAGATTCATATGACTCGAGTAAAAGTCAAAAATAGTCCTCCAAATAATCATGTGAGTGACACTAATTAATTGTTCACTGAAAAAAAATCTTCAAATACTGAGGCACTGGTAAGCACTTACTCATTTATCTTTTTAATAGAAAGAGTGTCAAATAGACAAAAATAAAAAATAGGAAGATACAAATTCAGATATTGTCCAATAATATCGCTTTAAAATAATATTGTCTTACTGAAATAACATCGGCCTCGGCAAATTCAGCCCAAACATTTTTCGAATTAACTTTTTTTGTTGACACATTTCGTCAAGCATCATGAGTCACTAAGTCTCTCTAAATAGATTACAAGCAACAATAAATTCAAGCTTTGAACGGAATGTAACTCAAGTTTACTTGAGTAAAAGTAGTGTTCCTTCATAAAAACAATACTTAATTCAAAGGAAAAAAAAATGTTGCATTAAAACTACTCTGCTAAGTACAATGTGACCAAAATTTTACATGAGCAAATGTTATGACATCACTGTAGCTTGTTGCTACCCACATCTGATCCTATAGTGGTAGAATAAAATCCTTGGGCTTTGTGTATTTTTGTGTTCACGGTGCACAAGAAGGGATATGTTGAGCTGTGGGTGGTGAATAGATTAGAGAGCTGAGTGCCTCTGGTTCCCTATATTCCTTTGTGGTTACTTCTAAGGGATTCTGAGAGGTCTTACAAGAACCCCACTGTTCATTTTACATTGTTAGCATTGTTTTGAAGCATTTACAACTTCTGCTCTCAATCATCGGTCATTGACTCAACAGATAAATCGAGCTGGTTTGGTTTACTGCTTGATGTATGATGTCATTTACAGGCATCAGAAAGTGTCAAAATGGCCGCCCTGTGAGATGGTTAAAAATGGGTGGATTTTGCTGCTTAATTCATATTCCACAAACCCAATATTAATCAGATGCTGTGTTATGACTATATTGGGGCCGCTTTGTACATATTGTAAAAAACACATTTTACTTGAATTTCACTTTATATAGCAGCCACTGACTTTTGTCACTGTCTACATCTCACCCACATTGGGGGGGGGGGTGTAAAATTGCAAACAAATGTGTGTGTTTTAACATTGAGAAGGTAAGCCATTCTCTCTCTCTCTGTCTCGCTCTCTCTCTCTCTCTGTCTCGCTCTCTGTCTCGCTCAGTCACACACCCACTGGCAGGCAGCAGCTCCATCTACTGTATACCACGGGGCTCTCAGAAGGTGCTGAGGGAGTAGAGAGAACAATGTTTGAACTGCAGCAAAACACAGCTCCCATCAGCTCCCAGATCAAAGGAACTCAATTACCAACAATCGGCTATAATGAGACCACCATGACTTGAAAACACTGGGACAGCTCGGTTCTCTTAAATTGCAATGTTGTTATGCGAGACTGTGGTGGAAAAGACAACAGTCATCGAGTAATATGGGTTTCTCCAGATGTAAACTCATTGACTCATTCGGCTTCTCTACGCAATCCTGCTTGAATTCTACACGGGGCAGCAAATCATATCGTAGGCAGCCTTCCATTCAGCATGAAGGAATTTCATGAATATCAGTCATGTTTATTGAAGGCCATCTCAGAATAGTGACGCTCTGGCAAACCTTTTCACTTTTTTTTTTTTTTGCACCAATGTTTGAATAGCGTCAAATGAAGCCACTTGAATTAAATATGACAGTACTATGTTTTTTTTCCTTTTCAGGCACGAAGAGAACGTCTTTTTATGTTAATTTTCTCACGGTTTCTTGGCAGTACACCTCAATTTAAGCAATTTTAATTATTCTTTTTTTTAACACCACTTTTCTTACACACCTAACCAGTCTCATACTGCAGGTCTACTTCCTTACAATTACAGTTCTTCACATTATTGTGGCATTGTTCAACTGATTTTTAGTGGTACTGTAAGAATATTTTGGTGCTTTATTTAGATACAAGGACATGATGAACAATAGAAGTGTTTCTGAGGGGCATTACAATGTATATAAGTATTATTGTGTCACAAAAATGTAGTCTCAAGTCTCTTGATTGTGAGTTCATATTTACTGTTTAGGAACTGGGGTGACATATGTGGTTCGTATTTGCATTGTGATGTGTTGAACAAGTGTTGAACCTTGTCATAGAACATGATGGAATTTGAGATGTTTCTTTTTTTTGTTGGGTTTTTTTTTTTCAAAATAAAATGACTTAAAATGATCCTCTTATTGGACCCATATTGCAGTATGCCATCTGTGAACTGATTTTATTGTATTTTTTTACTTCATATCTTACTATATACAGTATAGTTGATACAAGCCAAAATTGTGTACATTGTGGACTTTTACCTCATCATATCAAGGCTTCACATGATGGAGAAAGAGTGGGGAAAAAAAAATCATCACGTAAAATATACAAAATTAAAATATAAACTAATTACTTATCAAATTAACTAAAGCTGTAGTGATTCCAGTGAATGCAACGGGTGAGGGTCTACGTGATAGTACAGATA